GAGAATAGGTAATTATAGAAGAGAAGCGCTCTATCCAAAATATAGCAGCAGAATTTTGAAATACTAGAGATTAAGCGCTACCTTTACAGCAAGCATATCTTGGTCAGTCACGTCATAGAGGCAAAAGACATGGAACTGCTTAAGAAGATATCTAAAAATTTACATTTTGGATACCCATAAATCAGCTTTTATCTTAATTAGAATGTAAAGGAGACTTAACAAAATGAATACCTCAATATCATCAATCTATTAGCTGATGGAAAATCACTCGTAGAGCAGAGGATGCTAACGAAATTACAAAATATAGTCAAGTGTCGTGGGTGGAGCGAAGACGAAAAGAACTCCTGCGACTCTAAAGCAACACTACCACGTACAGTTTAGTAACGTTTCGTATTTATTTTTAAACAAGAAATGCTGAAAAAGTAATGAGAATCACAGCAGGCTCTTCAGACTATGGAAATGAACGTATGACCATGTATGTACCTAGTCTTATCGAGTTCAATACCGGAGACGTTGGCAGGAAGAGATCCAGTGGAGTATGCTTTCGATGACCAATTTCACTGACCAAAGGAGCACGGCCAACACTTGGTACATTGTGCTCCGTGGGCAAAAGTCGCGTTACATAAAAGGACACGGTCTGCATAAGCACGCTATCAGCAGATTGAGTTGTTGGCTAAAATTTGATTGATAAATAATAAGCCATTTTTGAAGTAAAAAGTATATAATACCTGAAGGCTCATGTCTGCCTGCTGACAAATCGCAAACCACAGCTCATTAGAAAGCCCGTCGTCAGCCTCTAGGATGGTCTAAAATATGATAGCTCTACAAAACATGTCACAGGGGTATAACATCAGATCTAATAGCAATCTCTATAATCTGTGATTCAAGCCCATAATTGCCTGTTCAAGTCTTTTAATACCGTGAACTATCTTTCAATGTAGCTTTAAAAGCAATCCTATCCACAAAAACTTTGTCACAGAACGGGCTGATAGGGGATAAGCGCGACATATAACTCCCTTACCCGCACATCCTACAGCCACACTCCATACTCCTCTTGCGCCTTTGATACTTCCAACTAATGAAAAGTCAAAAGGAAGGTCAAAAGTAATCAAACAAAAATACTCAAAAAACGAAGATCTGCTGTGGATGACCTCATGAACAACATGATAGGGATGTGTTGGGCCACTTGCGGTCCTCCATTCGGTGGCATAATTCCACACAAATCTATTGATTTGTTTTGAAACAATTTCTGAACAATACTCCTTTTTTATACTATGGTTGTATCGGAGCGCATGGGTAATAGAAGTGAACAGATGCGTGAAAACTGCAGAAAGAGAGGGTTCCGCTCCTCGCCAAAGACTGGTGTCAGAGTCCGCGAACCGCCGCGCGATTTCCGATCAGAGAAATCCAATTGCTACGATCAATACTGCAAGGTGCTCTCCAATCCCCCGCCCATTTCTGCTTGATGGTGATGGTTGAATGACGACTGTTCATGATTCTATTTGTTTCATATTCAGTGTTTGGAACGTTCAAATAGGCACTTGCAATTTTTGCGATTCGCGTGGATCGCGCGACTGACGCGGACTCTAACACCATCCTAAGAAGGCATCAATTACCTCAATCACCAAGCGTGCATATGCCGAGCTGCGACGTGACGGACTCATTTCTTTCTCTTTATTAAGGAGCATACGACATACAGCAACGACGCCTTCCTCCACGTACTTATTTTGATTGTCAAAATTGTTTTGCTCATTGTTCTGCCCTGTAGCTAAGTGGGCTAGCCCAACCAAGCTATTCATCTGGAAACCACAGTGGAATAATATCACACAGAAAATTCCATTACAATGTGTGAATATTGGGGGTTGACCCAAACACTATTTCATTTGATGGTTGTTCACACAGTGTACAACATTTATGCAACAAAGACAACACGATCACTTGTTCCTAACAAATAAATAGAATCTTTAGATTTGAACAGGCAGCGACAAACATGATACTCCACCAACCTTGCTATACGAAAAAAATTACCTAACCCAAACAACTAGAACAAGCGTCACAAACTGATAGGACGAAATAAGCTGCATTGCTGACTGGAATCATCTTCGATAGACAATCTTCTCTCGACGTTCACGTTTTCTCAATTTCTTGTCATCCATCTCTTCATTACCTTCCCCTGTGGGAGCTGTGATCCAGGGTAGTATCAAACCGAAGAATACCTGAGAATGTTCAAAGTTCATGCTACATAATGCATTTATGAAAGAATGACAAAGATAACTAGACATAAAAGGTGGCCTCAAAGAAAGTTATCAAGTTATCAAAAATTACCTTGTATGCGGCAGCAGCAGGGATTACTAAAAGAATCAAATATGCGAAAGAAGAGTAAAGAGCAAGAACCTGAAAAGACGAGAAAAATAGACATAAAAATACAATATAAAAGAAGAAGGAGGAAAAACGATAAGGTGCTCATTTCTTTTTGAAATTACATAGATTTTCAAAGGAAAAATCACCTGCACAAAAACGGTGACGATGATTACGTCTTTACAGTATTCACCAAATGCTGCAGGATCGTTTAGATCCATACCTGCGTCAGTAACGCGACCGCGTTCGTCAAACCGCGCACCTACAATCTGCTCATATGACCAATTGTTGTTAGTAAAACCAGTTACCTGTATCCAGTAAGATTAAAAAAAACCAATTGAAATAAGGCTTTTGTATATAAATAAAGAAGTGTTTACCTGCCATACTCTTCATAAAAGCGAGAGCTATAAGCTCAACAGTCACTGATATTCCAAAGTAAATATATGCATTAGAATTACATTCCAATAAGAAAAAACATGCACACAAGTGAAGCGCCTGAAAGATTTCTATTTGTATGGTAATGAGATATCGTAAAAACGGAAGAACTCACAACTGTTACCAAACAAGCTGATCCAAACGTTATTATAGTGCTTCTGTTCTCTTCATAAATTTCTTTTTGTCCTTTGGTAGCTACCTTCACCATTCTTCTCGAAGAAAAAAAAACTATGATACAATCGTGGCGAGAGCGCGCCTGCTAACTTTGCCTTTCGTTGGATTTAGCATGAAGATGATCAGAAGCATATTGGCCCAATGCCATGATAATAAGCGAAAAATAAGTTTCAAATAAAGGTTTATACTTGAACTCAGTAACGCCTTAATCAATCGATATCTAAACCGGCATAATGATTATGGAAACCAAAGATAAACTTGGGTTCGCCGTACACGACATTAGGAAACCGCAGTACTCACGCGAGATGACAAGAAAACATGCAAGCATAACTTAAGCAAAAACAACTGAAGGGGAGGTACAAAAATACAAAACAATGAACACGGGAGATAAGCAATGAAGAGCAAAAACTGACAGAAAGGCGGTTGTTCATCCGGAATGGGCTTATTCCACGAATGAGCCTCTTTAGTTGTTGTGAAGATCAAGACGGAAGATTTCATTTCCAATGAAAAATGAGCCGGTAGTATTTGGTCGCAAAATAAATATTTGCGAAAATGGATTGATTGGGTCGTCGTCTGTCTAAAATTATGCGGATTCCAAGGAAAAGCCTAAATAAGAAACAAGAAGAGCCAACCTTGAGCTGACCAAGTACCATCACGAGAATCGAGCCGTCGTAAAGAGGTTGCGAGTCACATTTAGTTATGGCACGTTGAATTTGCTTGAAAGTCAAGCTCTGAAAAACTAACAATGCCTGCGTAACGGTTACAACTGAAAAAAGCCTGTCACTTTTTCTACAACCTCCAAAGAGGAAGCGGCGAAAAACACCAGAGAAGCTTTTTGTCCAATGAGTCATGCGTTAACGTGGGATCATTTCGCCGTAAACCCGTTTTTCAGAGATGGTCCGAATTCTTTCAAAAAAAGTGATCGCAAACCTCATACGGAAGGTGGTAATATAAGCTTGACGTTTAAATCTAAAAAATACCATCACTACTGACTGTTGAGATGGAAGTTTAACCCCAGTAGGGTCCAGAAAGATTTGAAAAAGGGTGAAATAGGGCGCACAGGCCTATGCTCCCTGTCAAGCCCTGGTGGAACATACCGAAAGACTATGGCTGCATTGTCGCCTCGCTAAAGCATTGCCGTTGGCAGAACAAATCAGGAAGGAGGGTGCTGCACAAGATTTCCTCCACAGCGTTCCCGCAAGAATAGTCCAGTAGAAGAAAGAGAAAGTTCTGCTTCGACCGCCAAAAAGCTTCGACACAGCCCCATCGTTCTGCTATGGTCTATGTAACAGACCTTGGCTGAGAAGAAAATAACATTTTCGGGCACACTGCATTATTACCACGGGCTATCACACCAGTAGGGACGAGAATTACGGTCAAAAAAAAAAAATCCACTGGAAACTTCCCCTAAGAGAGGCTTATCGAGGGTCCTAATCACGAATATGACATTCTATTTCGGCAGCGGCGCCGAATTGATCCAGGTGGCGCCCGGACATTGATCCACGTCCGAAATTCACCGTATATACTCAAGGGATTACTTAGGTGCTCTGATTAGGTGAACATACACTTATTTGTACCCCTGGCCGTATTCGGCGCCCTGTTTTCCTGCACGTTCCCCGCCCTCTGTACCCCCTCATTACTTTTAGTGTTCGGCGATCAGGACCAAGCCTATCGAGAAGGCAGGGCTCTGAAGTGAATAAGCCATCCCATACACTTCAACTTCTGCCGCATCGTACGTGGTTTACCCCCTCTAAAGTCTCATCCTCCTCCATTAAGCTAGTCTTAGGCGCTATAAGTGAGAGAGTCCAGGAATGGGCGAGCAAATACCGTAAATTCAGCGCGAGTCCGCGTAACGAATGTATGGATATTCGAATGAGGACCGCCACAGGGCCCTGGGGAGCCCATGACAACGTTTAACAAGCGAATTGATGAAACAGCTGTGGTAGCCAATTGTGCCTATTTTTGGCCGCAGGGTTGGCCTAAAAATGATGTACATGTTCATGTAAGAACCCTCGCTAACCCCCACAGAAGAAGTTTTAGCGAAAAATTGACCCAACTCACCCTCAGTAGGGTTGTAATATCGCCCATTTTCGAACAGCGCCATCCTGGGTGTTCGACTTTTCGATTATAACAACCTGAGTGTCAGAAAGGCGCCTCATGCCTCCCGGATAAGGAAGCGCCAAAGAGTCATTCTGATAATTAACAGTGCCAACCGCTTACCTTCTGAGATTCAAATATGCATTGGTACTTTCCTTCAGCCTAACAGATTGACCATGAATCAACTAACTAAGTCTCACTAGCAATACCCTCTTCTAACTTCGAAATACCGAAAAACTTTAATCAATACGTTTGTTTGACTACTTTCACCACCGAACAGACGTACGAGGTGTACTAATGGAGAACACCAGTACAGCAGAGAGAAATACCTTCACTGCTGTGACTTCCACTGTACTGCTCCCTTTGTAAACCTCTCTGAACCCATGAACATGCCGCCCTAAAGACTTTGCAACCTAACATAACCCTACCCTTGAAAATAGATAGCTCATTTATCTTGCAGGCAGGCCTGACAGTGGGAAAATAAGCCGAAATGTCAATGCCTCACTCTGAGCGAATCGCAAAAAGCCTTTCGACAGCGGCTTCATCACCAGTCGCTTTAACTCCAGTTCCGAACACATGCCTAAGCCGTAGGCAGAAATTGGAGAGCATTTCAAAACAAGAAAAAAATCCACAACGAAACATGAGTGACTCACACTGAATTTCGCAAGTATAGCATCACGGCCTTTACATTGCACGCCTTCGAAACTCATATAAGAGTTTCTCGGTATCGTAAAGGTCACCAAGACCTTGCGCGCGTGCCATTCCATCTCCTTGGTCAAACTTGGAATAGTAGTGTTGCACGAATGCCGTGGCTATTGTCTCGTAATCTGGGTTGAAATTCATCCCAAAGTAACCAGAACTGGAAAATTTTGACATAGTAAACTGTGATGGCTTGCTATGAAATTATAATACAATAATTATACACACAATACAATACATACAATTAATAATTACAATTACGATACACGAAACCATAGGCAAGATAATGCGACTAGGTCCGAGGAGAGGAACGATGCGAAAAGAAAATGGTTCGAACTCGAAGAAATTGGTAATTGCGCATTTCAACTCGTTATTGTAAAGAGAACAAACGCCAAATTATGCCCAATTTGCACCTAGTTATTGTGATATTCCTGTCGCTAACGAGAATTTTCCTCCTGAGGCTTCAATTTTGTCCCCTGCTTTGAGCAAAACTGCAAAGTTTTCTTACTATTCAAAACTTTAATCGAAATGCCAAGTTCTTTCGAGATCTACATAAGTAGGAAAGTAATTGTCAAATTCTGTACACGCAGCTGTAATGACAAAGATCTGCAATTCAATGATAAGAACTCGCCAAGCGACGCAGTGACAATGTTGTTAGCACCGCATCTACGAAAAGCGAAAAAGCGATTCTCAGTGCAAGCAGATAAGAACATTACCTAATGAGAATCCTTATTCCTGACATTCAATTTCGAGACCTTTCCCCACTTCAAAGATGTGTTTATGGTTATGAGACCAAGGTTCAAAGGCTTGAGTGAAAATTAGGCCAGAGAACGCAAAAAATAAAGGACACAGACAAATGTGCTTCCGAGCAAGGCGCAGGTTCTTATTATGAAAGTGCCGAAAGTTCGAGGGAAGTTGAAAAGCGCGCAGAAAAAAAAACAGCCCAACGACATATCAGACAACGACTAATCGAGGAGTCATCAATTTGTCGTTTGGATTGTCGGCATTTGCACACATTTTCTCAGCGCTTTCTGAAAAAAAAGAGTGTCGGAAAGTTCTTTGCATCAATAATTCATTTTCCAATGTTTTCCAAGTGTTCTTTACTCTGTTGGGAAGGTGAAAAGATGCCGAGAAGTGTTGCCACTGAGTCTTTTCTGCATCATAATTCTTAATAATTTGCCGTGTTTTCCCACCCAAGGCTATTTTGCTTGCATAAAGTTTCGCAGTGCAGTTCCTCTTCTTTCTTGCTATGTATTGTCACTTTTTTCTTGGAGTACCGAATTTTGGCTCACTCCTATGCAGGCTTTCAAATATTCCTCAGCCCTGTACCTATTTTGTACCTGTTTTCATGAGAGTCCTGTGAATACGTAGATTATGTACCGTAAAACGTGATCGCTAGATTCTTGATGACTAAGAAACCTTTATAGTGCTCTCTAAAATAAACTAATATGTACGTTGAGAATAGTTGAGGGGTAGCTCCTATCGACGGTTTTATTCTAGGAAGTATAAGTTACGTAGAGAACAAAAGAAACGACACCACCCCAGTCTGAGCTGTTCCATAACAAGCAGTAAGATGCATTAGGACATAAAGCTTGCAAGGGTCATCTTGGTTGTTCACCTGGGATATAGCGATTACTTATGGTTATGCTGAAGCACTGTATCTAAGGCCGATGTCAGACTTTGCGAATCGCGCGATTCGCTAGCGTCTGCGGTCGCGTCGCGGCCAGTGAATCACTCAATTGGCTGGTACCGCAACGCGACCGCGGACGCTAGCGAATCGCTAGTAGCGAATCGCGCGATTCGCAAAGTCTGACATCGGCCATAGCGTGACATCTTGACACCCGTAAAGTTTTGTCTGGACAAGTGTAGTTCATGAGAATCCACATGCTCGTAGTTTCAACAATCTGGTTCCCAACTTTGCGTATCACTTCGCTCCGGTTGCGCTCAACTGCCACGGACTGCTTCATACCATTTATTCCGGCTTTCACAAAGAAACCAGGCTGTCAGGCTTCCGATTCTCTTTAATCGTTTGACACCACCTGGGATCAAGTGGGTAAATGTTCTGAACCAGTGACCATTGCGTTTAGTCTACCTAATCATACATGCTTTGGTGAATGTAGTTGCTTACCTTATTATCGATGATAGATGAAATCTGCCCTTCTAATCTTCTCCTCCGCGCGTGTATCGCAGCTCCGAGTTGCGTCCTCTCCATAGCATAATTTGGGTTCCGTTGAATGCATGCCCATTCTGCCCGCACATTTCTGGTTCCTTTCGGCTGGTGTCAGAGTCCGCACGTGGCGCGGACTCTGACGCCCGTTTTATGGAACGTTCCATAGTTGGCGATCTGTACGTGCGATTAAGGCGATTAGGGTGATCAGCGGTTGCTAATGAAATATACGAAATAGATTAGCGATTAGGTGACTAGGCGAGTAGGCGATTGGGCGATTAAGCTAGGAAGACTACATAGGTATTGGTTGGTTTGTTCCGCCCATAGAACGTTGTAGGCGAGTAGGCGAATAGGCGACGCTCAATGGGCGGAGCAACTATCAATACCTATCCCTCCCTGCTCTCTCACCCTCTGTTGCCAAATTTTGAGCAACTTGTAGAATTTAAAATCCATTTGCTTTCGGCAGAAAGACCTAAGTAACTTCTGTAAGTGCTTCGACGGAAGATTCTATCTCGAAGTTATTGTTTAAGATGTATTGTTTAAGGAATGTGGTCCTTGGCAGTTTGTATTTCGTTGTATTTACTGGTAGTTTTACTGATGTCTTCAGCTCATGAACTGTTAATGTTTCAGGACATTCAGAATGTATTGTGCGCAATGGCTGATTCCAGTTCTCTTGATTCCGAAGCACTGGCTGCATCCTCTGTTTTTGGTAGAGCAAGCATTTTTCATGTGGTTTTATATAATTGCTTTCTTTTTGGAACGCAGGTATGTTCAATTGAATAAGGGAATTCTTACTCAGCTACAATAATCCTTTTAATTTTCAGGCCTTGTCATATATGTTCGGCAATATTCTTCATAGCTCTGGGATTGCTTTGTTGGACAGATCCCGATACCTGCATCTTCTGGCCGACATGCGATCGCAAGCTTAATGGGGAAGTGAGTATTTCACATTTTTATTATCTATATTTCGAGAGATGGGGAGGTATGGCGACAGAACCAGAAAGGCTGAAATGGGATAGCAATTACAGCCCTCCAAACAGACCCCACAGAATTCGACCATTGCGGGCCTAGGCTCCTCCAGAATTTATCTCATACTTTTTGAAGAGTTTTAGCTCTCCATTCGAACTTTGTTGTGTGCACGTCTACAACTTCGTTATCGACTCCAATGCGTAATCCGCTATATTGAAGCTGGGGGATTTGGCTAGACAATTTTTGGATGTAGTCGGAAATGTGGTCGGCATGAAGACTCCTCAAAATTGGGCTAGGGCACCGTAAATATTTGGCTGAAATTTTCTGCACTCACATCAAAAACCAAAGTGAGAGAGAAGTAGCGCCCAATCAGATTCAGCCATTGTTGAGCTAGAATATTTAATTTAATTGGCGCTACTACTGCTATTTTTTCTCATCTTGTCAGGGAAAGCGCATTGTTGTTTCATTCTGAATCCGATTCTGTATCATTCTGTGAAAGGAATCGGTCACTGGCGCTGAAGTGAAGTGAGATGAAGTGGAGCTATTCACCAAATAAAAGAGCGAAGATATAGGTTTATATGTACAAAGTCTCGCAAACTTAAAATACCCTATTGTTGCGTAACATCGTTCCTTGAAGTTCAGGTTGTCACCATAATTATGCCACTTTTTTATTGTTTTTTTATCCCTGATTTACGATGATAAGATATTTGCATATTTTCATTAAGTCTTTACCTTTTAGGTGTGTTCTTATGTTTACAAAAACGAACTGGCAGGTCGAATATGAAGTCCACTTATAAGCAGTACAAGCCTTATGTGATACGGTTGCTCTACGGGCGTTTGTGACGATAGTTTACTCGTTGTCCTTGTCCAGATTCCTTTTCTTTTTTTTATTTTCGTTCATAGTTGCCGGTTAGAGTAGGTAACATCGTGGTAATATATTCAGAGACTTTCACTTCCCGTTATTAGTTGTCTTTTTTCCTGTACCGTGCATCCTCAAAGGCACATATATTGAAGATTGCTGCCATCAGTTCTTCTTGTCAGTATTATGATAAGTGGATTAGTGTGTTAACAATTTCGGAACCACTATCCTGCTTCGTTTCTCTTCCAGTTACGCCAAAAATTGTTCTATAAATCTAATTAGGATAATATGTTAGAGAGAACCATGTGTCATTGGTGCGATGAGAAATAAAATGTATATTCAGTAAACTCTAGCATCAACAGACAACAACAAAACACTAGAGTACCTCGAGCTGAACAACAATTATTAGATTAGGAAAATAAAGATTTAAAGAGTTCGTTCCGTGTTTCATGACTCCACTCTACCATTTCTGGCATTGCTGGATGGAAATTCACAAGCTTAGGGATAGGAAGATATCTGTAATATGTTATCATGAGAACACTAGTATGAGCGACTGAGGCACCCTGCGCATTTCTTTCACTGGAAGCAAGAAAAATGAAAACTTGCTTGATTTTCCTATCTTTGGAAGCACGGTTGTCTATCTCCTTTCTTCTAGCACGTTTGCTTTTCAATTTCTGCATTTCAATATAATGTCTATAATATAAAAATAGAATTTGGTAGGACTGTGGGAAACAACAGAAAAGTAGAAAAAAGATCAGGTTATCTAACCAGGAAGGTCTTTAAGAACGTACCAATTTTTTCAAAAATTTTCAATTTTTTTAAACGCCCTCCCCCATACCAAAAAGAGGTGATGAGTGGTTGGTGGTCGATTTTCCCTCGTGGTGACAAACTCTTGTCATTTTGTGGCGACGAATTTAAAATCTGCAAAAGGGCGTTACGCCACAAGTGGATGTCATAAATTAGTAACCACTTGGTAAATCCTTACAAGTAGTTTTCGACCACGAAACTGGTGAAAGATCGTTCGACACGACAGCAAGTGGCGGCCGCCGGAATGGCGCGCAGAAACACCAAATGACGTCCACGCAAAAAACCTAATGTCACTTCGTAGACGAAGAACTAGATAACCCAGATAGAAAGCTTTAGAAATATAAGATTTTGACCGAATTTCGAATAATTGGACCATGGACATGTTCGCGCCAGGCTTGACGGTCGATGAACTGGAGGCGATCACCTCGGTATCATCCTCTAGAAATGAGAAATCCTGCTCAATAATGGACAATGGCAGACACCCGAACTTGCGATGGGCCGATAGACCACGCGCGATGACTAGCTTGCTTGGTTTTCCTCCCGTCGAATAGTGCAGGGTAAACTTCGAGGCCTCTGCCACTCTAGGCCTCGTGGCGTACCTAGATCGGCTTGAAAGGACGCAACGTAGTGTGAGAAGTGCCCTATGAAGAGAGAACCTTTGTTTTCGAGTTAAAGAAGAGAACAACGATGCGAAAGAAAATCAAAGAAGCGGAAATTGCCTGTTTGGGAGGCGGACCTCCCGAAGATCTACGCACAATTGGACGGCAAAGATTCGACGCTCGTGCGATCTAGGCATTGCTTCAGCTTTGGTGCGTTGGTTGGTACGTCCCACCGACAAAGCGAGAGAGCGTTAGCGTTGAAGAAGGGCCGCGATGCGAGTCCAATCAAATGCCGGAGATCAACGGCAAGGATGGACAAAGGCGAGGTACCCTTCTCGGTTCCGGCCGTTTCTCATGGATTTTCCTTCTTTCTTGTATCACTGACCATCCTTAACCTAATTTGAAAGAGGCCTCTCCAGCGTACATTGCGTATTTAATTACTGAGAGATATCCGTGACTTTTCGCAACGAGTTCGTCTCCATACCGTCCGGGGACACATTCGGGGTTGCGGCCGGTCCAATTTTTCGAAATCCAGTTGAAATCTCGATCTTGCTCAAAACTTAGGCGTTGGGATCAGCTCAGTGCCCTGATCATAAATATGGCATTCGTTTTTGGCGCTATTTCGGACCGCGACGTGCTTCCTCTAGTTGTAGGGAGAAAGTCGCCTTAATGGGGTTATTTGTGACCCTGACTATGAATACTGGAGTCTAACATAAAACAGTACCATTTGGCACTCATGACGATGCCAGTAAATAATGCAAAAGCCCGAACCCCGTAGGGAATCCGAACTGAACTTCGTTCCGCTACGAGTCGATTAGAGTCCATCACGTTATCCACTAGGCATCGGATTTGCAGGGCGGAAGTGGTGTAGTGGCAAGTGGCGCGCTTACCACGCGAGCGGTCCGGGGATCAAATCCTGGGTCGTGAGTCGCCCGGGCCAACCAAGCCTTCCATCCCTCCGGGGTCGGTTAATTGGTACCAGACTTGTCTGGGAGGATAAAAACACTGACTTGTACATCGGCTGGCCCCCGCAAGTCATTGTATAGGCCACATCGCATTCAAACGCCACTACGAATGTACAAATGGAAGTAGAATGCGTGCCGCATCCCAAAAGGGATTGATCAACGGCAAATGCTTTATCCTTTATCCTTTATCGGATATGCAATAGAGCGTCGCAGTGAAACGCCTTGTGGAACCATGACACTTTCATCAGCACATAGCTCGGACGAACGCACCATTTTGTCTACGGTTAGCGGGAACCCTTTAATTATTACTCATGCGGTGGACGATATATGATACTAAGAAGCAGTAAATACGACAGTTCCCGAAGTAAATTCTTTACACTTCTTTGGTCTCAGGCAGGGAGCTGTTCAGGAAAAAGAACCGTACATTTAATGTTAACGGAAGTGTCCCTATATCATGCAAAAACCATTTTGAAAAATTGGCATGCCCCGAAGACATTCCTGGTAAGGGTATGTCAAACCTTGTCATTGCAACTGGATCCTGAGTATTGTTTGATTTCTTGCTTATCAATTCTTTCAGGAGAACCTGATAGAAATCATCATCGTCGTAAATTTCTTCATCCTCTTCAGCCTGAAAATTATATTCTCGAGCCGCCATTCAATATGAAAATTGAAAATGTATGCAACAAGTATAAAATGCAAGGATACCATGTCCATTGCAGGAAGTGGCCACGGTGAACCGCTTGGGGACGAGTGGACAACATAGTGGATTGAGTAGGATACCTACCTAATAGGCCGCAGTAAACACTTCAGGGGCAGGGGCGCAATATCAATGGTGTGATGAGGCGCAGACTCTACTTCCGATTGCAGCACCACCTTATCTTATTCATCCCGAATGGAAGTGGAAGTGGTCGCAACGGCAGCATATTTGATATGATCGTTGCGTCCAGTTTTCATCCTGGAAAGCGCCTGATACCAAGCAGTATCTTCTTATCTCAAAGAATCGTATCTTCTATGGGATTATACACATTCAAGTACATCTATCTCAGCTGTTATCGGTTGATAACGAGTAGTATGCAGGTCATCCTCAAAGCAAACGCCATCGCTTCCTTCAAAATATGTCTCGTAATTAAAGGAAGCGATCACGCTGGCTTCCACGCTGGATTTGCTACCCTCGCGTTATCAATCGATAAGGTGTGAGGCAGTAATTGTTGGACGAGTGTAAGCCCATGGAAGATATGATACGATGAGATAAGAAGGTGCGGCTGCTTGATAAGAGGTGCTCCAGAATGAAAATTGGAAATTAAAGAACCGGTAACAATCCACTACGCAAGTTTCGTCATCGTCGCCATAGGATTATCGTGACCCCACATCCTTAAGGTAAGTAAGTTCACTTCTCAGTTCCTCTCACGACACTTATGCTAGCCCTCGCATGTATTTGTATAGGCCGAAGTAGCACTCATAGTAAACCAAAACTCCGTTCAGAAACCAACTATGTAGCGCATTCCAGAAAGAAGGGAAAAATTAACTTCAACTGAGGATAATTAGCCCATGCGCGCGAATCATACAAAAAAAAGGTACCATCTCCATACAAGTTATTCCAGACGAGTATTTGAATAACTGAACAGCACCTAATCACTGAGGCATTCACGACTTCAATCAAATAAAGTAACCTACCTCAGGATTACCTCCAATCCGCTCGATATCGGACTTTTTTACGCGAGACCGTTTCACCAGACGCTGCTTATCAGAACACACCTGAATTTAATGTCACAGGAAGCTCAATGGCATTTACGGCGCGAAGATTATACTTGTATTAAAGAAGAACGTAATAACAAGAAACGTAGTAGGGCCACGGTGACGGGGGGGAGGGTGAACAGAAGCAAGGTGCGCTCCTCTCAAAATCCATGCCTACGGCATGTACCCCTTGCCGGAGCCTTATAAAAGCTACCTACCTATATATCGATTTGTCATGGCTAGTCCTGAGCACATGAAAACGGTCACTTTACACACACGGTTAACGCGAATAGGAATAACGCGGTTGTAGTCAGTAAGATGCCGGTCAGACTTTGCGATTGGCATCGCGCGATGCAGTCGCTCTGCCTAGAGCGATTGGCATCGCTCCAAAGTGCGAGCGACGGGAGATTTACCCGAGCGGCGCCGTGTGTATCGGTCGTCGGCGGGGTAAATCTCCCGTCGCTCGCACTTTGGAGCGATGCCAATCGCTCTAGGCAGAGCGACTGCATCGCGCGATGCAATCGCAGAGTCTGACCGACATCTAAGCTATGGAAGAGAAAGTAGCAAAATCATAGAATCCAGGGGAAGTGGAGGCAGTTTCAGTGTAGAGTGGGTTCATTCAAGAAAAAAAGGATGGTGGAGGACGTGGGCCGGGATTGAACCCAACAAGGTTACTAGAACGACACTTGCTTGACCTTGTTCACCACTGCGTGGATTCGTCGAATACCAGATATAAAACAAATATTCGTTACCTTCTCAATTTGAGAGACGATGTTTTCTTTTTCGAAAGCAGAAAAATCGGTGCTGGCATTTTTCGGCCGCCGAGAAGCTATCAACCGTGTGCGCCCTTCCCACTTGACTAACGTCGAATCTCTGAAAAACGAAGACTATTAGAATTGAAACGGCCCGTTGTCTCATACAAAATCTAGTTTGAAAATCGTTGGCTAAAATGAAGGCTTATACACACCATTTGTAATCGCCTTATCACCTCTTCTGCATTTCCACAACTGATATAAAAATAAGAGCTGAGCCGTAAACAGGCGAGATCTGAGCAAAATATAGCCTTTGGATCCCCTTTTCCCAAAGATGACAAAAAAATTAGGCACGTGATGCTTAAGATAACCAAGAAATCAGGTAAATGAACGACTAAAACAATGGCTCTTGAAGGAGCGGTCACCGAGCTGAGAGACAAAAATTTGCAGAAAAATCATGAATCTTGCTACGAGGTCCTGAATCGAAACACGATAAGCGGCAAGACGGTTAGTTGCCTTTTCCTCCTGTTTCTCAACTATATGCAGCAGTGTGCTCCTTAGAGTCGCTGGCGGGGAGTAGCCTGCAGACAGCCCAATGTGTAGATAGTGATCGTTTATCACCGCGCGCATAGCTCTAATTATTGGTCCAGTCTTTTCGCACCTGAACTTCGCAAATTGTTCTTCACTCTCACATATCCGCTTGCTCAACGATTTCATACTCATGGATGTTGCATGTT